GTGTACATGTATGCATACATGCATGCATGTACACATCCATACATACATACGTACGTACGTGCATACATACTTACGTGCATACATACTTATACACACGTTCGAATGTAAATGACGTTGGTTATGTGTAAGAAGCCACCTGTTCTAGCAGAGTATGTTGTGCAATCGGCGTGGAACGACATATATGATGCAACGTAGATTGTGCAATACATGTTACACATTATACGGTGCGCAACCGATGTTGTGCAGCAAAAGTGGTGAGACATATGAGGTGCACCATATGTTGTGCAATATATGTTGTGTGTTCTACGTGGTGCGAAATATGTGTCGCACTCTACGCGAAGCAATCAATATGGTGCAATACACGTTGCGCCAAATACGACGTACAGAATATGCTGTGCTATCTACGTAGTACAATAGATGTGGTACAGTACATGTTGTGCGACCTACGTGGGGCAAGCTAAGTTGTGCAACCTAGGTTGTGCAGTCTACGTTGTGCAGTGTACGCATTGCGACTTATGAAACACACTACATGTTGTGCGATATGTGTGGAATTGTTTGCGCGATGCAACAACAGTTGTGCATTATACGTTGTGCAATACATGCCGTGCAATGTACGTGGGAAAAACCACGCGATGCAAACTAAGTTGTGTTACCAATGGTGTGCACTGTACGCACTGCGATTTTCGAGGTGCCGCAAAAATTGTGCAATACGTGTGGGACAATATGTGTGGAAACAATAACTGTACAATAACATGTGTGGAACATGTTGTGCAATACATGTAGCGCAACACGTCGTGCAATCGATGTGGTATAATCAATATGGTGCATCCGATGTTCTGCTATCTATGCGGTGCGCAACCTATGTGGTGAAGTTTTTGTGGTCGAATTCACGTCAATTTACTCGCGCGCGACCACCTCCCATACTCGCGAAAACACCCCACCCACCCACCTAACTTGGTGTACAAAACCCATGCGGCGGCCACTGCGATGGCTGGTACATCGCTGCGGCCGCGCCAGCGCGCGAAGGCTCGCGCACAAAACGGCCAGCTACTCTGGCGCGACCGACGCGGCCGCGGTGGCGCTGACCGCTGGAAACTTCCCAAAACGTTTCGCAGGCCGCGCTGACGCGCGGGCACATCACTGCGAATCGGTAACTCGAGCGAGCGCGGTATCAGCGCGGCGTCGACGGCTGACACGATGGTGATGGTAGCGATGCCGGGGATGATAATGACAATGACGACGGGAAGAGCAATGACGGCAACGATGCTGACCACGCAGGTGACCATGATGGTGTCCTCGTTTCGGTGATGAAGGTTTTGAAAGGATTTCGACATGCGCGCGCGGCCGACGCGCGCAAGTGGCCCGCACTGTGTGGGATCGTGCCCCCCCCAGCACGCGCGCAAGGGCGTTCGAATGATTTCGACACTCGCGCGCGAGAGGCACGTTTGATAGCATGTGATGACAATGTTGAAGACCGATGGTATTCGTAAGAATTCGCAAGGGCGCGAGCGCAGGCTGTTTTGAAAATTCGTGCTGCAAAACCATTGGTTTTGTACACGTTTTCGGGACAGTGGATTTCGAAATCCATGCGAAACCCAAGGTTTTTGAAGGATGTCGACATGCCTGTGGGACGACGCGCGCGCGTGTGTTTCGCCTCGTTTTTTCTGCGCAGAACCTTGGCATCGCACGCGCGCAGGAGCGTTCGGGTGATTTCAGCCTGCGTGCGCGAGGGGGCACGTAAGGTCGCATTCGTAGGATACGTTGAACAAACACGGATTTTCTTAGGAAAACGCCAGAGCACGAGCGCAGGCGTTTTTGAAAAAGTCTGGATGCGAAGCCACTGTCTCTTAATATTTTCGGGACAGTGGATCTCGAAATCCATACGATACCTTTGGCTTCTGAAAAATTTCAGGGTGCGCGCGCGTGACGACGCGCGCGCGTGCACTTCGTCAAATTCTTGTCCAAGAGATTCTTGACAAAAAAATCAGATAAAGAAGTGCACGCGCATTATATCTCTGCCAGGGATGCGCGGGGGGGGGGGGGGGGGGCGATACCGGTTTGGCTGGGATCATAGGAGCTCATGTTTTGAATGAGCGATGGGGCTGAATCATTTAGAAGCTGCGCATCCACAGGGGGTGCTGATAATCAAGGGGGAGATCCTAAAAATAGATGTGTGAAGTTTATGTTGTGCAATATATGCTGCGCAATCTGATTGCGGCGGCGACCGGGCGGCGACGGCGGCAACAAGAGCGACGACTGACAGACAGGCACTGACGATGGGCGGAGACGAGGCTGCAACGGAGTCGCGACGGCGGCAACAAGCGCGGCGACCGACTGACAGGCCCAGACGACGGGCCGCGACGAGGCGGCGACGGGGCGGCGACGGCGGCAACATAGCCGCCAGACCGACAGACAGACCCAGCTCCTAGGAAGAACCTTTTTGTGCCCGGACAGAACACCTGGGCGACACAACCCGAAGGGAGGTGCCCAAGGTGCCTGCATGAATTTACATGCAATCGGACCTCGCAACACGAACGGCGGAACGGACCCGCCCCAGGCGTTATCCGCGCCGCCGTTGCGAGGTGCCTCGAGATGCCACCCCGAGACACGGCCACCGGCACCACCCCCACTTGGCCGCCAGCCTCAAGCAGCGGAGGCCCCGCTCCCAAAGGACTGAAGTTCCCGCGCCCCCCACGTCGGGGGACCCCTTCGAGTAACCCCATCGGGCCTCTCAGGGGTGGTACGGCGGGCCCGCACCTACTGTGGCTGGCCAACCACAGGGCAAGAGCCTGCCCCAAAGCCCCGTCGAGCTGTGGTGACGAAGGGGCTGCCAACCCGCCTGAATACATGAATGAATGAATGAATGAATGAATGAATGAATGAATGAATGAATGAATAACGAAAAAAATAAACATATCTATACACATATATATATATATATATATAATATATATATATATATATATATATATATATATATATATATATATATATATATATATATATAGCCGCCGGCCCCCTTGTGGAGCCACCAGGCTGTAGGCGCGAGGTTCGCAGTTTCCTGTACCAGTTGTAGCTTGTAGTTTCCAGTGTTACAGTTCTGTTTCTGCTGGTTACTGTAACTAGTTGACGTATTGCTGGTTACTGAAACTAGTTGATTGACCGCGCGAGGGGGGGGAGGCCCAAACGGGATTTTTAGCACCCCCTGGGCGCGTTGTCTGAATTGCTGGGGGGGCTCGAAATCGACACCCCTCACGCAGATCCGCGGGGTCAGGGTCCAAAAACACAGGGGATTTGCCACATTTCTGAAATTCTGTGCCACCCCTCACGCAGATCCGCGGGGTCAGGGTCCAAAAACACAGGGGATTTGCCACATTTCTGAAATTCGGCGCCACCCCTTACGCAGATCCGCGGGGTCAGGGTCCAAAAACAAAAGGGATTTGCCACATTTCTGAAATTCGGTGCCACCCTTCACGCACATCCATCGCAAGGCGTGGTAACCCAAACTGCGAGAACTCCCTCGGCCCTTTAATCGCAAGGTGTGGTAACCAAGCCCGTAAACCATACACGTCTTACCAATCGCCAGGTGTGGTAACCCCTCTTGTGATCAGTTGGTTTTGCTGATTGCGAATCGGCTTCGCATGAAGTTTCGATACTGCTTCACGACAGCGCCAAGGCCTCATGACTTAGCTCTTCCATAGCCCATTCTCCGAGAGAGGGGGCCGGCGGCAGGGGGCGAAGCCCTTACGGATATAAATATATATATATACATATATAAATATATACATATATATATATGCATACAAAGATACATGCATGCATGCATGCATGCATGCATGAATACATCCATCCATCCACCCACCCATCAATCCATCCGCACATACATACATACATACATACATACATATACATACATACATACATACATCATGCATGCACACCGGTATGCATTCTTACATATGTACATACATTACATTACATTACATTACACTACACTACATTACATTACATGACATGACATTACATTACATTACATTACATTTCCCTACATTACATCACATTACATTACATAGATTACATTGCATCGCATTGCTCTGCATTATGTACATACATACACACATATATACATGCATGTATGTATACATACATAAAAGCATGCATGCATACATACATGCGTGCGTACGTATATAAACATATGCAACCATATACACATGCATGCATACATACATACATACAGATATATATATAATTATATAATTACATATATATACATGCCTACTTATACACTGACATGCACATACCTATACACATACATGCATAAATACAGTCATACATGCATGTATACATAAATGCATGTCTGCATAGATACCCAGATTTGTGCATCGATATACATAAACATACGTGCATGCATGCATGCATGCATGCATGCATATATACGTACACGCATGCGTGCATGCATGCATATATATATATATATATGCACACACATATATATATATGCATGCATGCATGATTACATACATACATGCAGACATGCATACATTCATATATGCATACATGCATACATGCATACAGACATGCATGCATGTATACATATCGACATACAAATATATACATATATACATACGTGCATACATACATGCATACATACGTCATGCATGCATACATATATGAATGCATGCATACATAGATACATAGATATATGCATGCATACGTACATGTATACACACATACATGCATTCATGCATGAATGCATACATGCATGCAGACATGCATGCATGCATACATACGTACATACAAGTACATGTATGCATACATGGATGCATGCATACATACATACAGGTATACATATAAACATACATGTTTGCATGCATGCATGCATACATACATATAGATACAAACATACATACGTACGCATGTACGTACAAACATACATACATATGCTTCCTTTTCCCCTTCTGATAGCAGTGCCGCCCGATGTCTGGGACCCCTGGGTGGGCCTGTGATGTCGAGCCAGCGCCACCCCTTCTGCGACAGGGTCTCGGAGGCGGCCGTCGCAACCGCCGTGCTGCTGGCACGGGCCCCAATGCGAGCGCCCGCCTGGCCGGGGGGGGGGGGGGACATCGCGCCGCGCTCGGGGAGAGGGCGGAGGGCGCCTGGGTCAGGCCAGCCAGCCACAACTCGAATTCGGGGGCGCTGCGCTGCCTCCCCCCCTGGCCGCCCAGGAGCCCCGAAAGTGGCAACGCCCAGAGAGGCGAGGTCTCATTCTGATCTGAGCAGAGCCGCTCCGCTCTCCGCTGAGCCTCTTGCAAGCTCACCAAAGTAGCGACAGCTTCGTTGCTGGCAGCACCCAGAGGAGGCGAGGTCTAGCTTGGACATGGTTAGACCACACTCCGCTGGACAACCCACAAGCTCACGACAGTAGCGACGGTTGCGGTGTTGGCAGCATGCAGACAAGCGAGATTTGATTTTGGATCTAGGCAACACCGCACTCCGCTGGACCTCTGGCAACAATGCCGCTCATGGATGTTGGTAACACCGCACTCCGCTGGCTCCCACACGGGCACACGAAAGTGGCGGCAGTTCCGCGGCCCACACCAGGAAGGAGAAAGAGGAGGCCAGGCAGAGGCAAGGGAGGTGGCAGGAGAGAGAAGGGGAGGAGGAGGGAGGAGAACGAGGAGGAGCAGCAGAGCTCCATTCGACACGAATCACTGAGCAAAGGGGAATCGGTGACAAAAACTGAAAATCAACGAAACGCGCGAACGGCCATAAGTACTACGAATCCCGAGTGCATCCCACTTCCGAAACAAAGAGCTGGCAGGTCAGCTTTTTCCAAGCCAAAAGCAACAGACGATTCCGATTCCGATTCCGACTCTGGTTCAAACACGCGTTGATCTCGCAAACGGATGCTGACATCCTGCGCGCTGGCACGTAAACATACAGAGTACAACCCAACCACTGCCAACAATCCCTACCCATCAGAAATGTAGGGCCTTCTAAATTGTAACGTTGGACTCCGATCACAAGCTAGAGCGACCGTCACTCCTTGATAGGAGGGCGATCCTGTCACATGTCCAACCAAGTCCAACTGACAGTAAAAACGGAACCTGATGTAACCGACGCAACTAAGCTCCAAAGAAGCTCAAATGCCGCCTGTGCAGCGCGCCGGAGAAGCATCATAGTCCCCAACACGGGCCGCGCCCACACCTGCAGCGGCAGCTGGCCTCATCCTGCTCCTCCCTCCTGCTCCTCCTCCTCCTCCTCCTCCTCCTCCTCCTCATGCTCCTGCTCCTCACCATCTTCGTCCTCCTCCTCCTCCTCATCCTCTTCCTCCTCCTCCTCCTCCTCCTCCTCCTCAGCATCATCATCATCACATCATCATCAGCATCATCATCATCATCATCATCATCAGCAGCAGCAGCAGCAGCAGCAGCATCAGCATCAGCATCATCATCCTCATCCGCATCCTCATCCGCATCCTCATCCTCATCCTTATCATCACCACCACCATTATCATCATCATCATCATCACCACCACCGCCATCCTCATCATCATCATCATCATCATCATCATCATCATCACCACCACCATCATCATCATCATCAGCAGCAGCAGCAGTAGCAGCAGCAGCATCATCACTACGAGGCGCAAATCTCGCACCCCACATCGCTCCGCCCTGTCCTCTTCCTGCCTTCGCCTTGCTCGTTCCCTGCCTTCACTCTCCCATCGCGCCGCACGCGTGCGCCACCCCAGACGGTCGTCAATTCTCTCCGGGGACCTGTGACCTCTGACCCCCAGGGTGGCCAATCGCCCTGCTGCGCAGCAGGCCCCGCCTGCCTCTGCCCCCAGGGCCATCACGGGGTGGCGAGCCGCCCTGCTGTGGAGCAGGGCCCTCCTGTCACCCCTTTCCCTCCCCCTCCTCCCTCCCCGTGTGGTCCACCCCTTCGTCCGCTTGCTCCCCGCCCCCTCCTATCCTCCCACGCCTCCAGGGTTGCCGAGGTGCCCCGACGTGGCTGAGAGCGCTCTGGAAGTCTCTGGTGGTCACTGTGGGTCCCTGGAGGCCCCGGAAGGCTGGAGGCAATAGACAGAAGAAACCAGACGTCCAAAGACTCGATGCTCGATCCTCGAATCTTGAGGAGGAATCGGAGGGAGACGGAGGAGCAGGAGAAGGAGTAGGAGTAGGAGGAGGAGAAGAAGGAAGAGGATGATAGGGAGGAGGAGGGAGGAGGAGGAGGAGGAGAGAGGAGGAGTTGAGCGAACGTCACCACCCCCTTGCCGTGTAGGAGGACGGAGGAGGAGGAGGAGGAGGAGGAGGAGGAGGGAGGAGGAATTCAGCGAACCTCCCCACCTCCTTGCGGTGAACTGGGAGGAGCACTCCACGGCACAGTCTGCTCGGCCCTGGTCGGCACACCGCGAGAGCGCCGTGGACAGAGCCCGCGACCCTCGGCGATTTCGTGGCGCCTTCTCCTCCGAGGCTGGTCGGCCCGACACCGAGGCAGAAAGCTGGGCAGGATAAAACCGAAATCGGGCAGAGATGACTCCAAATCTCAAATCATCAACATATTCGAAATCCTCCTCCTCATCCTCATCCTCATCATCATCATCATCATCATCATCATCATCATCATCATCATCAGCAGCAGCAGCAGCATCAGCATCATCATCATCATCATCAGCAGCAGCAGCAGCATCGTCATGAAAATGATCAGCAACATCATCATCATCATCATCATCATCATCAGCAGCAGCAGCAGCAGCATCATCATCATCATCATCATCATCATCATCATCATCATCATCATCAGCAGCAGCAGCAGCAGCAGCAGCGGCAGCGGCAGCGGCAGCGGCAGCAGCCGCATCAGCATCAGCATCAGCATCAGCATCAGCATCAGCATCATCAGCAGCAGCATCATCAGCACCATCGGCAGCAGCAGCATCATGATGATCATCATCATCATAATCATCATCAGCATCATCCTCATCATCATCAGCATCAGTATTATAAGAATCATCAATATATTCATCATGATCATCACATCATCAGCAGCAGCAGCATCATCACCATCATCAACAACTACATAAGCATAGGCAGCGCAATCACCATCATCATCACCACCATCAGCATCATCATCAGCATCATCATCATCATTATCATCATCAGCATCATCAACATCATCATCAGAGTCACCATCATCATCATCATCATCAGCATCAGCATCAGCATCATCATCACCATTATCATCGTTCGTAGGGTCATCACCATCAGCATCGGTATCATCATCTTCTTCTTCATCATCATCATCAGCATCGTCATCATCATATCATCATATCATCATCATCATCAGCATCATCATCGTCGTCATCACCGCTATCGTCATCAGCAGCATTATCATCAGCATCATCCCAATCAGCAGCACGATCACTATCACACTCAGCATCAGCATCGGCATCGGCATCAGCATCATCATCATCATCATCACAAGCAGCAGCAGCAACATCAGCATGAGCATCAGGATCCTCATCATCCTACGTATCATCATCATCAACTTCATCATCATCATCATCATCATCATCATCATCATCATCATCATCATCATCATCATCATTATCATCGTCATAATCGTAGCCGTTATCTTCAAGATCAAAGTAACCATGACCATCATCATCAGTAGCATCATAAGCATCAGCATCATCAGTATCATCATCACCATCATCATCATCATCATCATCATCATCATCATCATCATCATCATCATCATCGTCATCGTCATCGTCATCGTCATCGTCAAAATCGTAGCCGTCATCATCTTCATCAGCACCACCATCATCATAATCATAGGCAGCAGCTGCGTCAGCAGCGGCAACATGAGCATGAGCATAAGGATCGTCGAAACCATCATCAGCATCAGCATGACCACCATCATCCTCGTCATCATCGTCATCTTCATCATCATCAGCATCAGCATCGTTGTCATCATCATCTTCATCGGGGAGGATCTAAGCGACATCGGACTTCCAAGAGACAAGAGGCCCACGAGAGACTCTCCAGGAGACCCCCGTATGCGCCCCTGAGGCTCCTGACCCACAGGCCGGGCACGGTGGCACCACTCTTGACGAATTCACTGTCAGGGGGGCTTCTGGAATGGCGCAGGCCTCTTGAATCAAAACGAAATCGGGCAGAGAGATGACTCGAGATCTCTGGCTTGCAGGATGTGTCGGGCGCCGCGCCCGTTACAGACCGCTCCCGGAGCAGTCTGGAACGCTCCAGGGCGACTTGGCTGCATCCTGGGCCTGCCTCAGAGCACCCACCAGGCAAGTAGAAACAGGAAGCATGTCCTGACCTTCGAAGCTCATGCTCCAAGCGATGGCGAATATCCAGACCTCTGATGTCTTGACTTATTGAATGATCAGGCCCTGACTGAAGCTCTCGGGCCTCCAGGGCCAACGGTGGACATGAGATCGCACCAACTGCGAACCCGAATGAGCAAGCACATGTGAGCCCTACCCCTGCCAGCCAGAGTTTTGAAACGCTGGCTGGGTTTCAGAATTCGGAGGACGTCTCCAGCCCAGGCCACTTGAACCCCAGCGGTGGTGTCCCAGCGTCGGTTGGAACCGCGGGGGCAGAATTCGCAACCGGTCGCAGACCAAAGCTGGCGGCGAGCCCAGGGGGGAAATGAGAGGGGGCAGGCCTTCGCAGAAGGCGGCGTGGCCTCCCACAAGCGCTCCGACCTTCTGAGAAGCCCTGTGGCCGTCGGAGAGGGCCTGGAAAGCGTCTCAGAAGGCCGGAGGCCTTCTGACCCTTCTTAAACACGCCCTCCTCCTCCTCCTCCTCCTCCTCCTCCTCCTCCTCCTCCTCCTCCTCCTCCTCCTCCTCCTCCTCCTCCTCCTCCTCCTCCTCCTCCTCCTCCTCCTCCCGACAAACTCACCGTGGCAGCGGGCGGGGCGGCGGACGAAAGCACGCCAGCCGATGGGCAGCCTGGTCGCGCCCGCGGCTAGCAGGCTCGGGCCGAGACACTGCGTCGACAGCGCTGGTCAAAGCCAGCACGCCTTCGCCCGTCCTCTCGCGTGCCTGCGTTCCTCCAGCGGAAGGCGGGTGAAGAGGAACGGGAGAAGAAAGAGGAGGGACGAAAACTAAAGGATGCACGATTAGCAGCACTGTGACCCATCGAGCATGCAAGCAACGTACCTCTTCCAAAAATGTTGACGCGCTCAGTTGCTCACTTCCTCTAGTTCGCACGGTCGGTCGCCGAGCAAAAGGGCGGGACGGCGACGCCGTCGCAAAGTGGCGGAGCCCGGGCTTCCGCTCAGTGGAAGGACTTGAGCTTGTCGGTCTCCACCGGCGCCTCGGCATCCCGCATCTCCCAGCCACTGCTGCACCCTCTCTGACATCCTCGCGTCGTGGACACCCCCTAAAAAACTGCAAAAATTGTCAATTTTCGGCCTCATGGGATTGTGCTCAAAAGCTAGCCCAGGATTGAAAAGTTGTCCCCAAGAAAAGAACCAGACCTCTGGGGAACCACGCTGTGGAAAAAAACACAACGTCAGCTGTGTGGGCAGTCTGGATATTTCGGGGGGAACTGCTGTCAAACGGCCGCCGCCGCGGCCGATTGCCCGCAGCCACCCCGTGGGTGCTCTCGCGGGGAGTCCTCGGGTGCCAGCGCGCGATCGCGATGGCCGCCAAGGAGTCTCACGAGTCCCCATGGAGAAACACAGCTTTTCAGGCATGCAGAGAGGACCTCAACAATACAACAAATAATGCTTGATTCGAGCTTCACGGCGCGACGTTCCAACTAAGAAGCGGGAACCCACTCGAGAAAGCAAGAAAAACGAGGAGCCGCGAAATGAGCAACGCAACGAATTGGCACATGATGGCACAAGAGATCTGAAAACTAGATGCTGCGCAGCGCGGTCCACCGCAAGCGAAACCAGCCAAATCCAGACCAGGCCACCAGAATGCACTCAAATTCGACTGGGGCCAGTAGAATGCAGCCCAGATGGGCAGTGCGCGCGAGTGGCCGCGAGGCCGAATAGAAAGAAGAGGCTGGCAGCTGCAGCGCATGCCTGGACGATCATCACTATTTTTCTGCGCCAATCATGGCCATCGAGCGCGTATGTTCGAATAGCCCTACCAGCTGTGCGATGACAATAAAAAGTGGGCCGGGGGTGACGTTGATGCATCTTTGACGAGTGGCGGAAACGGGGGGCCTGTACGCAGGGGGCCCAGCCACTCCCAAAAATTTACTGCACCAGGGCGGTGGGTGGGTGATTCAGAATCTGACGAGCGCTTGATTGAGCCCAAATAGCCACAGGCATCGGGCAGAGTGAGAGGTTACACGATCGTGTTGGCACTCGGGGGCGTCTTCTCGAATAGCCCACTAGCGGCGCAATGGCGGAAAGAAACAAATGCGCCCGGGGTGACGTTGATGCCTGTTTTCCTGGTGGCAGAAGCGGGGGCCCTGTACGCAGGGGTTTCAGCCACTCCCAAGAACTTGATACCCGCCCCCTGCGAGGGGAGTTGGTCGCCATGGAAGGGGGGCGGAGACCCGGAGGCGTGGGGCGCGAATCCCAAAGGCCCCCACTGGACGCTGCTAGCATCGAAGCCACCCCACACACCTCGCTCCTCTCGCCCCGTTTCTCAGGCACCGCCACCCCGCCCAACCGCACCGCACCCGTGTGCGAGGGGGCATGGGCGCGGTCTCGAAGCCCTCCCCGCCCTCCATAAGGCCCTCCGCAATTGGGGGCGCCCCCCCCCCACGCCCCGGACACCTCCGCCGCAGCGACGCGAAGAGCGGGGGTCCAGAGGCGAGAGGGGGGCCCCCAGTGGCGGCGCCCGTCGGAGAGCGGGGGTTCCAAACTATCCCACAGGCGCGCCATAAGTCCAAGCACTGCGACCCCGCCCCGAAGGGTCGCGCGGGACCCCGCGCGCCGCCGCGGCCACCTCCAGCTCCGCCAGCATGACGTCGACGAAGACGCGCAGGGCAGGGCTCTCACCACGGCACAAGGCGCGCGCACCCGCGGACACCCGGAAGCGCCCACCCGCGGGCGCCTCGCCCGCGGCGGACGCCCTCTCCTCGACGATCGGCACGCAGGAGTTTCTGGGAGGCCTGCATCATCTCGTCGGGCGCGCGTATCTTCAGGTCCGCGGCTGCCACTTGGACCCCGAGGGACTGGTCGAAACCCGTCGTCTTCACGTCTCTGAAGTCGCCTGCCTCCCGGCGCCCATCGCGCAGTGGCCAATCCAGGCTCGGCGCCATCTAGCGCGACGTCATGTCCTCCGAGAGTTCGACGTGGAGGACCGACAACGGCCACTGGGTCGACATGGACACCTTCGTCGCGCAAGCGTTCCCAATGTCGCCCGTCGACCCCGTCATCTCCAGGCTCAGCCTCTGGCGGAGCTCTCCGCGCCTCGAGAACAGCCGCGCGATGAGGATCGCGCCGAAGGTCTCTGGCGCCGCGATGACCCCGTTCGGGTCGTCTGCCTTGGCGCACGCCCAAGAACCATTCCTCCCCCACCTCCGGCGCGCGCGGACGAGCTTCTCGCGCGCTGCCTTTCGGCGGTACTTCCCAGCCGCCCATCCAGCAGCGCCCCCCCTTCCGCCGTCCGCCTTCGCGCCCGAGCGAGACGCGGCGGGCGCCCACCGGATAGCGGGGTTTCAAGATAGCCCCGCAGGCGCGCCATAAGTCCTCGCACTGGAACCCAGCCCCGAAGGGTCGCGCGGGACCCCGCGCGCCGCCGCGGCCGCCGCCAGCGCGACGTCGACGGAGACGCGCAGGGCGGGGCTCTCACCACGGCACAAGGCGCGCGCACCCGCGGACCCCCAGCAGCGCCCAGCCACGGGCGCCTCGCCCGCGGCGGACGCCCTCTCCTCGACAATCGACACGCAGAAGTCCTGGGAGGCCCGCTGCATCATCTCGTCGAGCACGCATCACTTCAGGTCCGCAGCCGCCACTTGGATCCTGAGGGACTGGTCGAAACCCGTCGTCTTGACGCCGCCCGCCGAGGTCGCCTGCCCCCCGGCGCCCATCGCTCGGTGGCCGACCCGGGCCCAGCGCCATCTAGCGCGACGCCAGGTCCCCCGAGAGCTCGACGAGGAGGACCGACAACGGCCAGTGGGTTGACATGGACACGTTCGTCGCGCAGGCGTTCCAAATGTCGCCCGTCGACCCCATCATCTTCAGGCTCAGCCTCTGGCGGAGCTCTCCGCGCCTCGGGAACAGCCACGCGATGAGGATCGCGCCGAAGGTCTCTGGCGCCGCGATGACCCCGTTCGGGTCGTCTGCCTTGGCGCACGCCCACCATAGCCATTCCTCCCCCACCTCCAGCGCGCGCGAACGAGCTTCTCGCGCGCTGCCTTTCGGCGGCACTTCCCAGCCGCCTATCCAGCAGCGCCCCCCCGCCTTCGCGCCCGAGCGAGACGCGGCGGGCGCCCGCTGGAGAGCGGGGTTTCAGGACAGCCCCGCAGGCGCGCCATAAGTCCTCGCACTGCGACCCCGCCCCGACGGGGTCGCGCGGGGCCCCGCGCGCCGCCGCGGCCACCTCCAGCTCCGCCAGCGCGACGTCGACGGAGACGCGCAGAGCGGGGCCCCCACCACGGCACAAGGCGCGCGCACCCGCGGACCCCCAGCAGCGCCCAGCCACGGGCGCCCCGCCCGCGGCGGACGCCCTCTCCTCGACGATCGTCACGCAAAAGTCCTGGGAGGCCTGCTGCATCATCTCGTCGAGCACGCGTCACTTCAGGTCCGCGGCCGCCACTTGGATCCTGAGGGGCTCGTCGAAACCCGTCGTCTTGACGTCGCCGAGGTTGCCTGCCTCCCAGCGCCCGTCGCGCGGCGGCCAATCCAGGCCCATCGCCATCTTGCGCGACGCACGTGGACACGTTCGTCGCGCAGGCGCCCCCAAGGTCGCCCGTCGACCCCATCATCTCCAGGTTCAGCCTCTGGCGGAACTCTCCGCGCCTTCAGAACAACCGCATCCAGCAGATCGCGCCGACAATCTCGCGCCGCGATCACCCCTGTTCGGGTCGCCTGCCCCGGCCCACGCCCAAGAACCATTCCTTCCCAACCTCCAGCGCGAACTAACGAGCTCCTCGCGCGCTGCCCTTCGGCGGCGCTTCCCAGCCGCCCATCCAACAGCGCCCCCCCTCCGCCTTCGCGCCCGAGCGGAAAACGGCGGGCACCTCTAGTCCTCGCCCACTCGCCCGTCGCTCGCCGATTCGGGTCAGCGCGAACATCGTGGCCGACGGCAGGGAAACCCTCTCGTCGTCTGCCCCTGCGACGCAGGCGAGCAGGCGCGCGCCGGCCCCAGGAGCGGACTCTCCCAGACCAGGCCCATCGCCGCGAACCGCAGGCACCCTAGGCGACGCCATCTCGACCACATCGACGGCGCCGCGCCCGACCGCCCCGCGACACCAGGCTGCCGCGAAAGCCGCCCTCGCCTCCGAGAAGCCCACGGCGCACTCGGCGCAGTCGCTGTGGAGGCCGACCCAGTCCACCTCGAGACCGCCCCAAGTCTTGACCCTCTGCACTAAAGCCGAAGACGCCGAGTAGGACGACCACGAAGAGCGCCGCTAGCCCCCCCCGTCGCGACGCCCCGATCGCCCCCCGGCCGTCGGCACAGGCGAACTGTTCCACGGGCAAGTCGCCCCCCAACAGGCAGGAGAGCACCCGCAGTCCGGCCCCGAATAGTCTGGCCAGCCATTCTGAGGCGCTGCACACGCCGAAGCCGCCGACGGCGTTGCAATAGATCTCGCCTGCGAACTCGCAAGCCGGCACGCCCCACTCGCCCGCGGATCTTGACAGACCGATGCGCGCCCTCGGCGTCGATGACGAAGGAGGAGATTACTTCGCGCCGGTCCGCGCAGTAGCTCTGGAGGCAATTCTTCGTCGCGGGCCTCGGCATCCCGCGTCGGATCTGGCAGCCAGTGGCCCACGGCGACCTCCGGCGCGCCACCGCACACGAGCGTCTTACCGCTCGCGCTCCCCAGGGCCGCCGGCGCCGCCACGGGGCACTCGTCGTGAACGCGGTTGCGCCGCTGTTCCACGAATATCCTGATCACCCCGCCCGCGTTCGCCTCGCCCGCGAAGAGCCCTCGGAACAAATCGCCGCGGCCTTCCACGCCGCCGCAATTCGCCGCTGCTGGGGCGGCCCACTCGGCCGCCCCCCGGTCGAGGCGCCACTTCCCGAGCTCCTCGAAGAGCTCCTCCTGCTGGGGCATCTCGCACGGCATGCCCGCCGTGACCCCCGTCTCCAACTCCTTTATCACCTCCACGCCGGGGGGCCCTGCTTCGCGTAGAGGCGCCGCCTGCAGGCGGGGGCGGATGGGCTGCCCCCTTGCAGCGCAGCCCAGGTCGTCGCCGTGGCCCGCCAGCCCTTTCGCCCCCAGCCAGCCTTCGAGGGCCCCCCGGCCCTCGCAGACCGGAAGTCTCGCTCGAATCTGCACCGCCAACTCAGACCGGACGCGTTCTGCGGCGCCCCAGCCACCCACGGCCCCCACGACCCGTCGAAAAAATTGGGCCCCAGCCCAGCCCAGCTCGGTCTGGGCCCCAGCGGCCGCGGGAGAAGAAGCACCCGCCGTCGCGAAAGCCTCTCGGGCCCTCGATGCACTCGCAGCAGCCCCGCGCCTCCGAATCGGCGCATGGGACCCACGGTTGCGCGCCTCTGCCCCCCCCGCCACGCCGCGACAATAACGCCCGCGCGGCAGTCAGAGCGCGCGATCGGAAGGGCACCCGAGGCGGGCGCCGTCGAGCTCCGAGAGCGCCTCGAGCAGGTCTGGCCCCGTCGGAAGGCAATGCGCGAAGTTCGCGACGGCGACATTCGCGCCGCGCAGCTGGACGGAGAAGCGATCGCCATCTGCTCGCTAGGATCTCGCCGCCGCCGCCCCCCCCCCCCCCCCGACGTGGATATCTCCTTTGCCGAGCGGGCCGCTCTTTATGGGGGGGGCGGTCTCCGGCCCCCCCGCCCCCTCGCCCTCGCCCCGCTTCTCGAGCAGGTCTGACGAGCGGCGAGCGGCTCCGAACAAAAGGCCCCCCCTTCCACGATGGGCATCGAGCGGCTCGGCCACGTCGCCCACGCCCTGCGCCGCCGACTCGCCCTGCCGCGCGGGCCAGGCCGCAGCGCTCGCGGCCGTGAACGCGGCGCCGCCCCGCCTGCGCCCCAGCGACTTGAGCCCTGCGGGCGGCGGCGGCCGCGGCCCAGGGCAATCTCCGCTCGCGTCGAACTGCCGTCTCTCGCCGCGGAACCGCGGGTCGGCAGTCAGTCCTGAAAACCAGCCGGCGAGGCGCGCCGACTTCGGGCACGGCGCGCCGGAGCTGCTCTGGCGGAAAACCGCTGCGCGAACGCCGTCGAGGTCGAAGATCTCGTCTATCATTGGCAGCTGCCACATGCTGGCGGAGCGCTGACCGCGGCGGTCGCCTGCCCCGACGGCGCCAAAGTCCCCGGGCTGCTCTGGGAGGCCAGCCGCTCGCTTGCCGCTCGTCAGCTGGCCCCTCTGCGCGCGGAGGGCGCCCCGCGAATTTGTTGGGCGCCCGGCGCTTCAGCTCCTCTGCCCCTCAGCCGAGGCCGACAAAGCTCGGGGCGCAAAGGGGGCCTGGTGGATTGTATATGTGTTCTTTTAAAAGAAAACCCACGCGAATCTCCCCCTACGACTCCCTCTCCTAACCCACGAAAGCGACGCGGAGGCGCTGCGAAGAGGGCCAGCTGCGGTCGTCGCTGCGCAGCACCACCCACGCCTTAACGAGGCGGAGCCACGCCACCCTGCGCAAATAACCGCGCGAGGTCCTCTTCCATGACAAGCCGCTCCAGGGCACCGATGAACGCGCTGGGGACATGTTGCGCCGTCGTCGTCAGGCCCGTGTCCGCACCGAAAGCATTCCACAGTCGCGACGACCTGCTGGGCCTCGGTCGACTGGAGAAGATGTCCTTCTGGCCCACGTCCGCCACGCGCTCTGTACATACCATGGCGCGCGGGGCTTGGTTGGGCACCGTCGGCCCGCACGGCTCGGCGGCCCTGGCACGCACGTAGTCAATAAGGTGCACGATCGTCGCGGGCCACGAAACCGCTTGCGCGCGCAGCCATTATCTGCGCATCGTCTACATGGACGCACGCCGTCACCGTGTTGATACCCGTGCGGCCCCCCATGTCGCCCTTCGCCCGCTCCTGGTCCATGTAGGACCACGCAGTCTCAAGCGAGGGCGTTCCCGTCTCGTCGAGCAGCGCGACCAAGCGAGGTTTCCACCAAACCCATTCCTGCGTCTCCAGTCCCCGACGGCTCTCCCCTGCAACCGCGCGGCACATCCGAACGAAGCGGGTCCCCGCCATCGCACGGGCCCCTGACGGCAGTGGGGCGTCGGACGCTCCACAGGAGGCAGCCACCTTGATGCACGCCGCGGCGTTCCCCAGCATGGCCGGTCAGGGCAACCATGGAACGCCCTCAGCCGCTTCTGCACTAGCTCTTCGGCTACTGCCTGGTCCACGACGAATTCCGTCAGCGGCCGCCGTGTTTCCTTCCTCCACGCTGAAGTCCACGGCCGCCGCCACCTGCATGAGCGTTCCATCGAACTCGGTCTCGTCCGCCTGAAGCGCCAGGCGCGCTCCGAGGAGATCGTACTCATGAAGCATATTGCGGACCCGCCGCCGCGCGCCGTCGAGGGCGCACGGCCCAAGGGCAAGCATCTGCGCCCAACCATTGTTCAATGTTGGCCGAGCGCCTGAGCCCAAAAAGCATCGGGAACAGTGCGAGGATACACATTCGTACTGGCACACAGAGGCATGCCTGTTGTCGGTATCGCTATCATAAACCTGTCTCGCGCCCGCGCTATCAAAACTTCGCGATACAAGATGTGTATATTATAAGTCGCTCTGTCAACTAGAGGCCTCCCAAATGGGGTCTGGGCAGATGAGGTCGGAGGATCGAGCCGAATCCCCGAAGCATTGCCGACGCATTGGCGATGCATCGGCGACGTCCGCGATGCGTCAGGGACGCTGGGGTAAAGAAAATCGGGCTCCACATCTCGCCACGTCGCCGATGCATCGGCGATGCGGCACGATCCTCCGATACCATCTGCTCGGACCCCATTTGAGAGGCCTGGAACAACGGAAGGCCGTTGACAGAAGAATACCGCTGCCTCCCTCCCCTTCACACCCAACGAAGACAAGACCACGGCCCAGAGCCTCATCTTCGTGTAAGTGCGCGAGTGGGTTCTCGGCGCGGTAGTGGTGGGCGTCATTATAGGCATCGATAGCCTGCGTCTCGAGACGGGCGATCGTGTCAAACTCCTGCGTACCGGGCGGCAAGATACATGTGGTGTGCAGCATAACGACGTGGTAGAGCAAGATGAGGCACTTGGCAGGGGGGGTAGAAAAGGGGGGTAGTAAATCATGGCCCGAGGCATGTGGGTGGACAAGGGGGGCTAGGGAACATAATAAAAAAAGACGAGGGGCCATGCTGTCTGGGAGTTATCATGGTCCTGGCCGTAGTATCCACCCACACACACACACCCCTAGTCCTCACCCCCTTCTTGGGCGCCCCCGAACTTGGCAAGAGTAGACGACAGCTGTTGTTCTGGCGAACTGGGCGCCATACGCAGGCACACCACAGGCCAACGACCTGTGGCGCGGGCGCAGTGGGCGCCCTCACGATGAAAATCGGTGGCTGCATCATTGTGACGCACTTGGGCGCGGCCGCGGCCGCCCTGTCCGAGCGCCGTCGCCCGCATCCCCACCTTCCGCCCAGGGGGGGGGGGGGCGCGCGACGACCCAGACATCCGGCGGTTTTCTCATGTTTCGGCCCTCGGAGGCCAACTTCGGGCCCCGGGACCGTCGAGACACGTCCTGGGATGAGAATACGGCCCTGGGAAGGTGGTCGAAAGACTGGTGGTCGAAAGACATGACCTATGTCCCTCAATACTCTGTCTTCCTTTCCCAGGCATCATGTCACGTACTATGACAGGCCAACAATCACGAAGCACCGTCAAAAAAAACGCGCACGTTTGGCAGGGATGGATGGACAAGTAAGCTGGGTGAAATAAACGACGCAATCGTCTAATGCGACGGTCTCGGCAATGAAAGTCAGACAATTGAACCATGACACCTCCCCATCAACTCGAGTCCCTGCATCCGTCCTCTGCGCCCCAGCAGCGTCCCATCTGTCACGCACGCACACATACACAGCGCAAGAAACAAAACCCATCCCCGTCACATCTCCGGTCCTTGATCGTGGCCGCCCGCAGGCGTGTCAGCGCGCGGAAGACGGCGCGCTTGATCTCTGCAACTTCCGCATTCTCCACAGCGTCCACCAGGGTGTCCTGCCCAGGGAGGAGAAGGATCGGTACGCAATAGAGACCGGGACCCAAGGCCCCCGCGGCTACCAGGAGCAGGAAAATCCGCCATCGTGCCCTAGGTGCGGTCGTGAGACTCTAGGGTTCTCAAACGCCCAGGATACAAATCTGAAATTAATTCTGGGCACTCCTGTGCGCTTCTGGCGTTTGTCGCGTAGGCCTCTGGGAAGGTAAGCCCGCCCAAACCGACGCCAACATTCCCGAAGAGCCTTCGAAGCAACGCTCAAAAAAAGGCTCAGGAACTCCGTAGCCCCAAGGGGGCGTCCAGGGGATCTCTTGGGGGCCTCTTGAGTCGTCGTTGAGGCCCTGGGGACGGGCCCAAGAGGCAAGCATCGAAACACTAGATGTTGCTGTGTGAGTTTCAACATCAGAACGACCACGGCCGAATTATGATTCCCCTATCAAGAATCACGCATTGGCCACCTTGCCATGTCCGCATCCACGTTCGCATTGTGCTGGGCCTCGAGGACGCCGTCGTCTGCCCTCAGAGACGTCAATGCCGAGTCGTCGCCATCGTCGCCCATGTCCTCGTCGTCATGTCCCAATCCCTCCTGCCTGACTTCCATGGCACGCTAGTGTTGCTCACTTGACCATTCTTCAGTCGCCTTCACTCACTCCCCAGAGAAGCCAGGGCAGCAACCCGTCCTGCGTCTTGGCTGCATGGTCCTGCAATTCTTTCGCGGTGTCCTCCTTGCCAAAGGGGGCAATCTTATTGAAGTTCCTCGGTCGCCCAGCGCGGGGCGGCGGGATCTGCCAATCTCCCCTGCGGCATTCTCCGCACGACGGGCCAGCTGACCAGCGGGCTGCTGGACCCAGTTGTCCAGGTTCCTCGCCAAGATTGCCTGGGGCCTCGACGGAGTGCCTCCGGTTTCTCAGCTGAGCTCTTCGGTGTTCACCTTTGCTGGCCTCCGCTTGCCTTCGCTTGCATGGCGTTGCCTGCCACGTCATGATTGGCATTGTTTCCCTTTGATCGACCACTGGCCTTCATGTGCCTCTCAAGGTCGACGATGCTTGCCAAATCTGCTTGTAGTTGCATTCGCGCGCCGTGACTTGGCTGCCTGGCTGTTGCCTCTGATATCTTCGCGTATCATGCTGCTCCCACTCATCTGAATTGTCCGTTTGTATCTCGTTTGGTAAGCATGCGTCAGCGCGTCTCACCCTGCTTGCAGAAAATAATATTTGCTTGCTTGCCCGTGATAGCACGTGCCATGTTACATCTGCATGTGTGCATGTACTTGCCCCTGGTTGCGGGCACCTCCCCAGCTGCCCGTGCGCACTGTTGGGCGCGCACGCCTCGCTTGCTCATGTTACCCTCTCTTGTTGGCGGGGAGCGGGGGGAGGAAGCAAGAAGGAGAAGGCCTTCTCAGCAGGAGGCGGGACTTCTCGGAGGCCCTCGCGCTTTCTGAGAGGTTTCTGTGTCTTCGGGGAAGGCCCGCCCCTCCTCACTTCCCCCCGTCGCTCGCCGCCGATCGTGCTCCCACGGGCTCTCGCTGGCCCAACTTGATGACCGCGAGGGGCGCTGCCCACGTGCGTCTCGCGAGGCGCGCGTGCCCGCGTGCGCGCCCCAGCACGCGGAGGCGCTATCGTGACCCCACGCCGCGCCCCGCGCAGCACGGGGCGGCGGGAGGGGCGCGAAGTCCCTCGAGCACGCGCAGTCGCGCCGCGCGATCGGCAACACTCGCGGCAATCCGCGCGGGCGGCTGAGCCAGCTGCATCTCGAGGTCGTGGGTCATCTCCTCGTGGCTGGGGGCTGGGGAAGGAAGAAGGGTGGGGGAAGGAAGGAGAGGAAACCAACAGACTGCAGCAGACGTGGGGGGGGATCGAGGGTTGCAGGAGAGTTGCCCTGAAAAAGATGCCCCAAAGGGCCCCCAAACTGCCGCCGCGGGCCAGACGGTGAACGGAAATGTACACGTTCCTTCACCCCTCGTTTACCCAGCTGCCTGCCTCAAGTCCCGCCACCGTGCCAGCGCAGCATTCTGGCGACTTCTCGAGGGTGGGAGACCCGTGATGATGACGATGATGGTGACGACGACGACGACGACTGATGATGATGATGATGTTGACGATGATGATGATGACGATGATGATGATGATGGTGATGGTGATGGTGATAGTGATGATGATGGTGATGTTGATGACTGATGATGATGGTGATGGTGATGGTGATGGTGATGGTGATGGTGAAGGTGATGGTGATGGTGATGGTGGTGGTGATGGTGATGACCACAGTGATGGTGATGGTAATGGTGATGGTGATGGTGATGGTGATGGTGATGGTGATGGTGATGGTGATGGCGATGGTGATGTGATGGTGATGGTGATGATGGTGATGGTGATGGTGATGGTGATGGTGATGGTGATGGTGATGGTGATGGTGATGGTGATGGTGATGGTGATGGTGATGGTGATGGTGATGGTGATGGTGGTGATGGTGATGGTGATGGTGATGATGGTGATGGTGATGGTGATGGTGATGGTGATGGTGATGGTGATGGTGATGGTGATGGTGATGGTGATGGTGATGGTGATGGTGATGGTGATGGTGATGCCCTGCGCTTTGAATCGGTTAGTCTAGGCTCGCTTGGCCTGCTCAACCATGAGAAAGAAAAACACGACGGGGCTCCCCCTTCGTTTGGACTCTGAAACGGAGTCCGCGGTGACTGGAACCGAGACGGAGGCGGAAGCCTCTTGCCTCGGGCACGGGACGAGGCACTATCTAAATAGTTGCCAAGCTGGATGGGACGAGAGGCTACCCAAGCTCGAAACCAAATCCAAAAGGATCAAAGTCGGCCCCTTCGTCGAGCTCGACCTCGACCCCCATCGCCTCCTCCCAGTCGGGAGGGGGAGGGGGAGGAGGAGGAGGCGGGAGAGGAGCGGAGGTAGGAGGAGCGAGACGAGCGAGTTGGGCAGCCGAGAACCCCGCCGACCGATGGGGGAGGGGTCTCGTCACAGCTCGCTTCTCTAAGATTCGAACAATCGATCGATGCATTGAAGTGGCCAGTGTAAATCGGCCCCTGGCTTTCTGAATTACAGAGGTCGGGAAGGGGGCGTGACTCGGCGGCAAGTGTGGCAAGCGCATCAATTTTTTCATTCAACTCCTCGGCGAGCGGATGCACCGCCCCACGGTCAACGCCGTCCTCGCCCTGGCGCGGGTACACGTGCTCGCAGTAGAACATATCGGGCTTGGCGTCGATCGCGATCTTGATCTGGGCCCAGGTGTCGTGCCAGCTTCCTCCTGACGGCTCTCCTCCGTCAAGTAGGTTACTGAATTCTCGAACACATTGTTGATTGTCGCAGTAGATCCACACAGGCTCCTCCGCCACACGTACAACGTGAAGTAGTGCTCTGGCTTCAGCACGTGCACTACTTTGTCGTGGTCCATAGAGCTTCGACGAGTAGTTGAGGCGGTGGTGTGGCGCCACATATACAGCGTATCCCGCCCGAGCGAGCCACTGATGTTGTGGGAAACGGCAGGCGCCATCCGTAGCAATGGCCATCCACCGCTTGTTCTCGTCGTCGGTGATGTAGTTGACCATGTCCTCAGCAGGGTCGTCATCCACTTGCTGTGGGGGTCGATGTTGCGCGGGCTCCGGCAGAGCCGCGAGTTCGTCGTAGAGCGTGACCGTCTCCTCGTCGATGAAACTGAGACCGCAGTGACGTGCTGACGGCGGCCACTGTCCACGTTCATGGACTTGCGGATGCTGAAGTAGCGGTGCGCGTTCTTCTTGCCAGCACGGACATTCCCACAGGATATGTCATTGCGTTTCTTGTTCTCTGTCACAGAACCTGCAAACCGCAGAGGGGTCTTCTGAAATGGAGGATCTCTGCAAGCTTTGCTGCGCGTGGTCGCCGCCAGCTAGAAATACAGACAGTAGGCCGCGCTGCCACTTAGTAAGTCGGTGCCTGAGACTGCGCGTGCGCAATAGCCAAGAATTTGAAACCATGTCGATGCCATACTTGTGCTTCGCCACGTCCCCGAGGTCATTTCGTGTAGTGGGCACCTTGCGTTGGAACCACCGTCGTTGTGAGTCTCGGAGATGGCGCATGAGAAAATCACTGTGCCCTTCGAGCCACAAAAAGGGAGTGCCACGGTCGGTCGTCAGGGTGTCAAAGGCTGGCCATCGCCAGTTGAGCTGGTTGAGCACCTTGACAAAAGTACGCATTGGACCTGGGCATGCAGTGTCTGCGTCCTGTATATGGTCCCGAAGGTCACGCACGTAGTCCCGCAGCTTCGGTACCCGCAGAGCCTGCCGCCGTAGCGAAAGGGTGACTTCTCTCTGGCTGATCGCGATGGGGTCGAGGAGATGGCCTTTCAAGACGACGCCCAGCAAAATCCACAGACATGTCCACTGCCTTCCCTTGGGCATGATGGTCGCAAACACTGCATGGTAGTAGTCTCGCAGCTGTCGGTTGGAGGGCGCCCCGAGGTCGGATCCCACCGCAACCATGGATGCCGCCATCATCTGCGCAATGTCGGCACGCTTGTGAAGAGGTAGGGGGAGCCGTTGGACGCGTTGAAGTCGTTGAGCCGCAGCAACAAAGTGTCGGTCCATGAGGCTAGTGCCATCGCCTCCGCGAGTGACAATATGGCTGCCCACGAGACGAAAGGCGCGCTTCACGGGCAGGTTGTGGCCACATACCGTGGTGTTGGCGAGCTCAGCGGTCATGTCCTCGTCGGTGGTCCAGGCAACCAGCTTCCCGAGGTGTAGTTCCTGACCAGAGAGTTTGTCAAAAAGAAGCGATTCGCGGAGCGATTCACGGATCCCAGCCATGTCCCATACCGTAAGAGTTGGAGTCGTCGATATACGTTATGGAAAGTGACCTCGGAATAACTCTGTGTTGTCTTGCCGCCCATACATCATGAGCATCTTAATGTCATCAATGCTGAAGGCCGATCCTTGTAGGTGGCCATTCGTGGTAGCCATGGCGTCGCTGTAAGTTCCAGACATTCGCAGGTACCTCCGACGCTGCGCGTAAAATTGTTCACGAACTCGAAGCACACTCTCGGGGCACCCAACATGTCGTTGTAGTTCGATGCATATACTGGTTATCAGCAGGTCAAAGCACTTCTTCCTGTTAAGAGCGAGACCGTGGACCCAGTTCTCGGCGCGACGGGACCACTCGACCTGAAGGGCAAGACTGGTGGAGACATCCGAGAGACGGGCCCCTGACGTGGCCCCGAAACTCGTGGGGTGAGTCCACTTGCGCCTCCAAGGGTCAAGCTTTCGGTAGATCGGAACTTCCCAAGCATAAAGCCACACAGACAGAACAGAGAGAAGCCTTTGCTCTCCGGGGAAAATTCCCTCCCCCTTCCTCAGGGCGGGGTTCGGAACATGTTTGAAAGCCGAGGGGGCCTGACCCGAATTCTGCATCGATCGAAGCACCTCGGCAAAGACAGATTGGATGGCTGTGGGCAGAGCTTTTGCCTCCACCGTCGCCCATCCGTCAAGACCCCCCGCCTTGCGAGAGGAGCGTGCCTGGAGAAAAGCACAGACATCAGCATCACTAAGCGTGGGCTCAGGGCAAGGACTCACGGGTGGCAGCTCAGCTTCGTATTCAGCACGGGAATCCTCCCAAGTGGGGACCTCTGAAGTCCCACGATATTTGCAAAGAACCGGCTCCCAAGCTTGCTGCATCAACTTGATGATGTCGAGCGGGTTGGAAATGATGTCCTGGGTATCAGGTTTTTTGAGGCAGGTAGTGGGTTGCTGAGTCTGCGCTTTTACCCAGGCACACACCTCTCGCCCTCCACTTTGACAAGATGCTGAAATTCGTGTTCGCCATTGTTGCAGTCGCTGTCGTTGGGCTTCTGCGGCATACCGCTGTTGTTCAGCAAGTACCTGGGCAGCAGCATGGCGGGCTCGGCCTGCCGAAGGCCAGCAAAAGGGCGCCCACCATCCAGGCCAGGATGCACATCCAGGTTGTAGAAGTTGAACATGCTTGCAGCAGTTGGCCCAGAGCTGGTGGTAGAGCTGGATATCGATATAGGACGTATACCCACGAGCTTCGCAAAGTTCAGCGCGGTAGCTTAGTTCAAGTAGTCGACGGTGGAGCTGAGTGCATTGCCACCCTGTGCGGGACATAGCCCCATGCTGTGGGGAAATAGGTGGGGCGGCCCACCCTTGCACGAAACGAGGGGGCTTGCCACGCCCTCTCGTTCCCTTCTTGACGTGAGTATCACAACATATCTCCAAGAAATCCTCCGCCATCTGGCTGGCAAGAGCGAACGTATCCTCTGCGTTGCCTTGCGCCAGTGCAAGCTGCCTGGCATGTTGGTCGACCAAGTAGGCACCGAGAGCTTCACGTTCGTCATGAGGCATACTGATGTGGTAGACGTCGTAGAGCTTCGGGCGTTCGCACCGTCGCACCCGCGCCGCAAACGCGCCCACGTTGAGGGTGACTTCAAGGCCAAGATGTCCAGGGCATTTGAATTCACGAACGATGTGAAAGTCGATGACCATAGCATCGGCGCTAGCATTCGCAATGATATAGTCGATCCTAGAAGTGTGCTCGATGGGGTCGTGGCGATTCCAGTTGGGGTCGCGGCCGTAGGCCATGGCATCCTGATCGGGATAGCCGTTCGAGACATTGTTCCAGCCACCTTCCTGTAGTACCCAACTGAGAAAAGCGGACTCGGTGACATCGCACTGGGCATCCACGGTGATGAAGTAGGGGGCGGCAGTGCCTCGTAACGCCGCTGCTTGCCAAGCGTCCGCGAACAGGTCCTCGTTTGATT